GGTATATAGTTGAGTAGCATAGAGTGATCAGTATAGCTGAACCCGCTCTTGAAATTAAGGAGCACAGCTGTAATCGATCTGTAGCAAGTGTTATGCTACATTAACTTATACTACTGCGCAGCAGTATGATCAATGCAACCTAGTCCCTGGCGAAAGTCTGTTATCTTTCATACAGGTTTTCCGTTCCAGAGTTAGTGTCAGATACTAAACTGCACCAATAGGTACTCCGGCCTGCGTTTGATTAACACTTATTGGCGGCACATACTTTTCGACTGCCATTCTTGAGCGTTGATACTATGCTCGGTTCACTACACTTGCCTTGAACAATATCTTTCTCTCGTAGTTTGCGAAATCCGATCGCTTTTTACAGATGAAAACACCGTTGCATTGTGGGATGGTAGCTAGATACGAACCCCATTGCATACCTAATCGAGGTTTCTGATCACATTTCCAATCTAATCTCCCATGGAACCATCAAATTTTACCTTCCATGTTTCAGCTTAAACCGCCTGATCACGATCTTGTTTGGAAGAGGGTGGGGGCATCTAAGGTGCTTGTGAAGACACAGCGCTCACCATGCTAGATGGTGTTTCTTATTGTGAGTTAGACACCTGGCGCTATCCCTGATTGTCACAATGACGCATTGGTACAAGTAAGTAAGAGTGCTTGAAAAGCACGCCGGCATACTGTACGGACGGTTCGCTGCCACGCGACCATCAATAGTTGGTCGTGAGCTGAGTATACAACGAGATCACCACTCTGTGTCCATGTGATTTCATTGTTCTTTTGAGCCGGTTAACTTCTCTAACCGCATTGTATACTCGGTGCTAGGCTTGCAACATCTCGAGGTCGAGTCCCCGCTCTTGACTAGCAACTAAAGAAAAGCATCAGCAGTAAACTGGTACGCAGTACCGACGCTTCACTGCCACGCAACCACCACCAGTCGCACGTGGGCTAAGGATACTACGAGAGTCGCCCGGTCCCTACGTAGGCTCGAACCCGTGCCGTTAGATTACAAGATAAGCGTGTTACCTTTAGGTTACGGGTACCCTTTTAGTATCCAAGTAATCCTAAGTCCTCTTACGGTCGTTTGGCTGCTAAGCATCAACGCAATGTACCGACGTACCGAATTCTTCACCGATGTTCCAGCAGGTTCACCGACTTTCCAGTGTCCGATGTACTCACAGTTGTTAGCGTGGCAAACAGCATCTCATTCACCGTGCATAGCAATATGGAAGCTACTTCACTGAAACTCATTTTCCTTACCTCATGCTCCTCAGTCTCAACTCGAGGCATTAATTTGCCGCGTATCCTAATGAAGTTCAAGGCAGTGTAACAACGCGTGCTTCAGATTAGGACACATGTTCTAGGATGAAACTACGCCACCTGAATCTTATATAGACGTGGGCTATTTGGATCTGCGTTAGTCTGCTGCTTGAGGGCACCAAATAACACAGCGCTAATTAGGAAGCACCATTGCCATAAATTTGGCGCCCAGAGTGAATATTGACAAAATTCACCCGTTTGCCTTTAACCACAAATCCTTCGGCGTCACACTGTCGGATACAGGTCACATTCTTCGCTTGTCCACCTGGTACGCGTAGTTCGCTTTCCCCGTTATCTGTTTAGTAAACTTGCATGTAGCCACTCGCTGACATTGTAAAATTCTCATTTTGACTGAAGAACTTGTGTGTGTCTATCATTTTAATCACTCCTTGGAACATTAAACCACAGTGGTCAGTACTTTATCCAAAATTGTTTTTTCGCGGACTCAACGGCGGTTTTGCATTTGATCCACTGTATTAACCTTTTCGTACAATGATTTCCAATACATCCTTCATGGCTTTCCCTATTGGCTTACCTATGAATTATGTTCAATATTCCATAAACGCGAGGCATGACAACTGCATCCACGGCACTCCGGTTCGAGCGTGACTCCTTTTTGTTGTCCGTCCAACGCGTTGCAACTTACACGCAAACTCTGACTACTTAATTTCATTAAAATTTCTGGCTACTTTCCATTGTGTCGCCCAACCTTAGTTTCGCATTGTCTTCAGTAGCCGCCTCTTTTTGCCCCACACGCAAATTCCTCGCTCCGCACGAGCTTACAATCACGCCTTCGAGCGCCTTTGGGCTGCCTTTTTCTTTTAAGACTGAATTCTTTATACTTTTTACTTTAGGTAACACTTCATTACTTTCCACGGTTGTAGACCCTGCTTTCAGCCTGCACTACGTTACTGGTTAGTGCCTCACCACCCAAACGTGACAATATTCGGTTACTATGGGTAGATTTTTCGCATTTTGACCCTAACATTATCGATGAATCTCCACAACAGCGGCGCTATCAACTCTAGTTTTTCCTCCCCAATACAGCCATTTCATCCTCCACTTCCAAAAAGAACGATCGAGCTGTACTGCAATATCCCTGTAACGTTAAGAGAGGTACAAAGTTCCATCACATCCATAAAATCATCAACCCGTCCAGGCCCAGATGGCATTTCCCCAACTGTTATAAAACTCGGAGAAAAAAACCTCACTCTACTGTTATTAATCATCTTCACACTTTCTCTCATTACCGGCTTATTTCCATCTCAATGGAAGCAATCCATCGTAATGCGTAAGCACAATTGTGATCCGGGAAATAACGTGTCAAGCTACCGACCAATCAATTACACCTCAGCTGCTACCAAAACCCTAGAGATTATAGTCAAGAAAAACATCGTTAAATATCTTAAAAGACTGGATCGGATCAACCCCTTACAGCATGGCTTTCTATCAAAACGCTCCGGCGTTACCTGCCGTCTACAATTCTTTGATCACGTCATGACTATGATTGACAGAGGAATGGCAATCATTATAATTCTGTTGGACATGCAAAAGGCGTTGGCCTGCGTGTCGCACAAGCCATTGCTGTCTGCTCTAGAGTCATATGGAATTGAAAATCCTCTGCTAAACTGGTTCGACTCATGTCTACATGGTCGAACTCAGGTAGTTAAAATCGGCCAGCAATATTCTACACCGAAACAAATAACCACAGGCGTCTTCCAGGGTAGTATGCTCGGACCACTACTTTTCCTAATCTACGTAAACAACATATGCGACCCGATCAAACATGGACACCCATTTTTGTTTGCAGGTGATGTCAACCTGGTCTACTCATTTCATCCAGACCAACTGCAACTATGCCTGGGAAGCATCTGGGAAGACCTATATGCACTAAATATAGCTAGTGAGCGTTTATTAATGAAGTTCTCCGCAGTGAAATCCCAAGTACTTGGGTACAAATGCCGCATCCCAGAAGGCTCCATTATACTTGCCGAAAACTTGATCCCAACGTCTGATTCAGTTCGGGACTTAGGAATTAGGTACTCCAACTCTATCTATTTCTCCGAACATGTGCTTTATCCGGTTGCGAAAGCAAGGCATTTATGCGGATATATTACCAGAACTTTCTCCCTACGTGAAGCACGACTTGAGTCATTGAAGACAATAGTACGATCGACTCTGGAATACTGTACTATCGTTCGTAGCCAATTGAGAAAGACAGAACGGTTCTGGAAAATGTCCAACCATCATGTTCCAAGCTGGTCATGCGGCGTTGCTCAAACCTGACTTATTATGATCGTTGTCGAAACCCCCAACTGGATCCTCTTTGGTTGAGACGCTTAAAGAATAACCTTGTTCTCTTCTACAACACAAACCAACAAATTTACGCAGACAGCACCGCACTTGAACTACGAAAGACTGCAGTCTACCCCACACGTAATGGCGGCTACTTGTTACGCGCAAAGCTTGCAAGTCATGAAACTCGATCGAATTTCTTCTTAGTGAGATACACTGATCTGTGGAACAAACTACCCCTACAGATACGCATGAGTGCAAGCGATGTCACATTTCGAAATCTCCTTCAGACGTTCCTCACCATATCAAATGTCTTGAAGATATTTCACTCACAGCAAACTCTAGAAACATTGACAGAAGCTGGTATAAAAAACATATGAGTAGATATTCACTTACGACTAGCTTAACCACTACATGTCATTACCTACAATACGAAACCCTGTGTCTGTGCGGTCTAGTATCCCCTCTCGTTTATTATCTACTCCTGAACCCTACAAACTATAAAATGATGATACAAATATCCGTAATTTTTACCTCTTAGGTGCTCGGATCTAGGACCCGAGGAAAAAAATCATGATCCGAACTTCCATTATTTGACTTTACTATTATGATTTATGCCTCATAAAGCATGAAACCTATTCACTATATAAATGATCGCTCCCGCTTATGGGGCCGTGTACCGTTTGGCGGTAAATATGCATTTATTCATTTTTTATTTGAATCGGGCGGTCCCACACACCCGGAAAGCACCAGACGGCCATTTCGTCCCATTGGGACTCGTCAGTCATTGACCAAAAAACTTGATGCCATCGATCCGTCTCGCCTTCTAGACTTGAGTCCACATGACCGACCCATCTTATGCTTGGCTCGAGACGTTACAGGACATGACTCGGTCCTCACCAGTAGCGCGTCTATTGTCTCCAAATCGGAATGCCTCTTTGAAGTGTGTTTGGTGCTGAGTTATCTGTGGGGTAACTGCTGATTATGACGCGAGGCAATAAAAGCCGCAAGGAAGCTGTCTGGCTGATAGCACCTTAGCTTTGCACAATGGCCAATTGTCTGCGACCCAAGGTGTAGGCATCTTGTCCATGGCTGTTTGTTTAGAAGTTCAAGTTTTCATGCTATATCCCATTCTCCGCCTGTTATTCTTCGTTCCGTGCTTGTACGGCAGCGAACCATATTTTCAGATGGCTGGTTGACTGCTGTTGATGATGGTGATGGTCGTTTGGTGCCTTTCCGATTGCGTAGGGATGTCAGCATTAGAACTACTGCGAAAATCCATCATTTAATTACACTGAAAATTCTCAACTCACAAGTTAACGCCACCGATTCGATGGCATATTTGTTTTATCAGCGATGTACTTTTCCCTTCGTTTTAGATTTCCATGCTGCTCTGCTTGATCCTGGTCCACAGTTGGTCATATGTGATGAAGGCCATCGTATCAAAAACAGCGAAGCTTCCATTTCGAAGGCCTTGAAGGCAATCCGGACAAGGCAAGTCATCTCTTCTTCCACTTGTGCTTTTGGAGACATTGTTTCATAACTGAAAATAACATTTTGCCTCCGTCAAGCTCGAGCTCTTGTTTTCTGCAGCACACCTTGATCCAGTGCTCATCCGCTACAATCCTTTTGATCGCCGTCTGTTTACCTCGTTAACGCTTGGAGAGTTTGTCATGCGCAGTCAATGTGTGCTTCCATAGCATAACGGGCCTTTTGTTTGCATGTCCTGATTTATTCCACATCAGCCCTAACCAACAACAATTTCTCTCATTGCTAGTGTTCTACTAAATTGGCCCATCATTCGACTTTGGCAGTTTCTGTTCACTTTAGCTCAACCCATGCTTCGTATTTTCCTTTCTGTCTAAAAAAGCGTCAGTATGAACTATTCCGGACTCAAATTTGCGTGGCCTCTTTTGGTATCTTCCGATATTTGCTGCTGTCATGCTCATTGTCCTTCTGTTTCTATTGCACTGTCCTCGCTATGATCACCTAGATGAACTGGCATCTTCATGGACGCGCGGATTCGGTTGGAAAACGATTCTCAGCTTTTCCATCGTCACCGCCTAGGTCTAATCTATCGTTTGTGACGCAGAGGGAAAATCTGAAATATTCTCTCTGTGACTGCACCACTTGAGTAACCACAAGTGACCTTCGCTTCATGTTCCCTTTGTCGCGATTATCTTCACCGTTCGCCACTTAATGCCACTGGTCTGTATGGCTTGATAAGGCCTTTGTATCGGAGCGAATACTAAATACACCAACCACTTGTTTCCAATTCTCTCTTAAATCACATTAGTCCATTTCCCTTGGTTTGCTTTTGTTGCAACTTGCGCCTAATCATCCGTCTCTCTACCTATAGACGCCGAGTTGTTCTGACCGGATATCCATTACAGAACAATCTCATGGAATACTGGTGCATGGTGGACTTTGTACGACCTAACTACCTTGGCACAAAACAAGAATTCACTAATATGTTCCAACGTCCCATCGAAAATGGTCAATGTATCGACAGTACATCGACCGATCGCAAGGTGATGCAAGGTCGTGCACATGTGCTACACGACTTATTGTCGGGTTTCGTACAACGTCGATCACATGCAGTGCTGAAGGCCACTCTGCCTGCAAAGACCGAGATTGTCCTGCTCATTAAATTATCTCCACTTCAACGCACTTTGTACGCAGCGTTTATGCGAAGTCTCAACTCCAGTGGGCCTTCGGGATGGGCTCAAGTGAACACGCTGAAAACCTACGCCATGTGTTGCAAAGTTAGTAGTTTCGATTGCTGTCAGTCACTTTGGATACATCCTATCGCGCTTTATTTCCTTATTGATCTGAAGGGCGCATCCATTTTTCTGAATGCGTCATGTTTTCATTTGGTATTCCTGAGAATTTAGCAAGCCGGATCAATCGTATTAAGATGATACAAATCACCGAGTTATGTTAATATTTTAACAGCAAACTACTGCACACTTTTCAGAAGGCGGTCGAACTGTTAGCTGAGCTTGGCACTTTTGTTGCAAACGTGTCGCCACCAATTGAGGTGACATCATCAGTGCGTAGTTGCGTGGCGTGCAGTAGCGTGGAGCAGCCTCACCGAGGCTCATTTGTCAGCATTACACTCCTGGATTAATTCCACCAGGTCGAGGTAGTACAGCTTCAAATATTCTATTCTGGTTAGGTCACATACTTTAGCCGAATCGCCTGAGCTGTCGTTGAAAGCAGATGTCACACCACCCACTTTGGAGATTCGATATGAACGTTTCGTGTTGAAAGGAAACATGACTCTTGGACCTAACGACCTTCCACTATGTTTGCTGAAAGATGGTGGTGACTCTGTTGACTGTACTCGCCACTCTGTTTAACAATATTTGGGACACTGAAGAAGTGCGACTGTCAACTTTTGTACTCATCTTCAAGAAGGGTCAGCGTACTTGGTGCATTGGCCTTGTTTCCATTGCATCCAAACTCCTCATGGATATCATTCTTCGGCGACTTACTGGTTCCCGTGAAAAACGAATCACTGAAAGCGAAGCTGGCTTCCCCCCGGTCGTGGTTGCATCGACTACATATTTACTCTTTGCCAAGTTTTAGAGCAAAGACACAAAAAACCGACTATGGCGGTTTTCCTAGACTTGAAAGCTGCCTTCGACTCTGTTGACCGCGCTAACTTGTGGTATTTCCTATCCATGTAGAGCGTGCCAGCTTATACAGTCTCTACCGTGATTCCCGAGGCCATGTAAGGGTCTACGAGTTCCCCACGAGAAGTGGAGTTCGCCAGAATTGTTCTGTATCTCCTTCCTCAGCTGTTATCGAAATTATCATGAGTGACTCTGTGCTTTCAGACTCTACCGGAGTGAAACTTCTGCTACGTGACTGACAAATCTGGAGTATGCGGACGACATAGGTCTTCTTGGGTCTTACGCAATGAATGTACAAACACTGCTAGCTAGACTGACGCGTAGCGCCGCACGCTTCGGCATGTGCCTCGCATGTTCAAAGTGCAAAGTACTGCTTGCAGGACTGTACCGACACACTGGTTCTAGCTATCGCCGAACAGTCGCTTTAAGTGGTGGATCGGTTCACTTACCTAGATACCTGTGTCACCTCTTGTGGTCGCGTCACTGGGGAGGTTACTTCGTGTATCAGCAAGGCCCGTGTGGCTTTCCAGAAATTCAACCATCTATGGAGACGGTGGAATATCAGCCGGTCAATGAAAGGTAGGGTGTGTAACGTTGCGATAAGGCCAGTGTTACTGTATGGATTAGAGACCTGGCCAGTATGCAGTGAAGACATTAAACGATTAGTCATGTTTGACCACCGGTGCTTGCGGAGTATCGCTCACGCCTGGTGGGTACACCGGGTGAGCATTGCTGAGGTATGCCAGTCGGTTTTTGTGAAACCAACCTTCTGGTGCCTCACTCGAGTGTTTGCTGGATCTTCAGCACTTACGTTGGCTGGACCATTTACTACGTATGCCCGTTGACCGTCTTCTTCGGCATGCATTATACGTCTTGGCTGCACAGTTGGCATAGAAGCGTGAAGAAATTTTCTGAGAAATTTGGTCAGTCTGATGCATGCCTTCTTTCTGTATGTGGGTCTAGGGATGTTTCACCGCAGTGACTGGACACCGTATCAGAGATGGCGCAGTCACGAAGTCAGTGGCGTTCCTGCATTCGGTTTCTCGCATCTGGTTGTTAATTTGCATTTTATTCTGATTGGATTAACGCGCTTCCTTCTTGCTTCCATTCGTCTTTAACCCCACTATCTTGCCGTTTTTATTTGTTGTTATTCTTAGGATTAGTCGTGAAAATTGGATCCACCGCACCTCGGTGCTCGGATCATAGCTGATCAACTGAGCTGAACTGAACATCCTTTAACTACTTGTTATTCTCCTTACCCTGCATCTGATGCATGTATTAGTGAGGATTTCACATAGGGCTAAAACGGCGAGTTTTGGGTTTATATCGAAACTTGCCAACGCGCTCTATTTTGTCGGCTTATCAACCGGATACATCATAGTATATGGGATGAAAACGAACACAACAATGAAGCGTACATGGTCGCTCAATAGACTTTTGTAACGAGCAAAACTGTGTGCTTGCTATGGGGAAATCACTTTCCACTTACTGACTTGTTCGTCATGGCCTCGAACAAATTTAAGCTGTCTACGTATGTCCTGGTTTTGGTGTTAGTATTCATTTCTCTTCTTACCCGAGTTGGCATCTGATTACTCTCATGTGACCCAATCTCAAGTAGCTAGACTGGACAACTTTGTTCTGCTTAACTTGTTGACTCGAATTCACAAGTTGCAACACGCCAACTCGTACTCAATTCCCCCAGCAATTATGGCACTTTTCCGGGTTTTGTTCTCGTGTCTTTGTGGGTCTTGTGGTATATTCTAGACATTATCTTCAACAGATTTTGTGCATATTACCGGAGATGTTCGACATTTCTACGGACTGATTTCGATATGGTACTGACCACTAAAGGAGCTGTTCGCCACCTTTTTCGGTGAAAATAAATACCTGCTCTGGTCTCCATCTCTATATTAACTTTGCTGCTTTCCACCATATATGTTCACAACGCATCATTAGATGTCCATGAAATTCCACAGTGACCCGAACCAAAATCACATTGCCTTTGCTACAAATTTTGGGTTGTTGTGCTGTTTAGGCTACGTGTCTGGATTCCGACCATGTCCCATTGCGCGTCCGCACATCGCTCACTTTTCCGACTTCAGCGAACCGCCCATCATCTTCGAGACTTCTCAGATTCTGCGATTCAAGGATGTCACAACAGACTAAGTTGCCAATGACTAACGAGCTGAGTATGACGAATGTCGACTGAAGTCGCTGCAAACGTGCAACGGAGATTGCTTCCGAAGCTCGTTTTCCTCCTATCTGTGGATGGACTCTGATGCATCGATTTTATTGCTTGTGACACATGAATTTGATCCGTTGGGTAAATGGTTTCATGCTTGTAACAGCCAGTAACGTCTTCGGATCGAGAACGTTAAAATTGATCCCTTACATGGGAACATCCGATTACCATTATAAGTCCTCGATAACGCGGGTCCAAAAGTAGTCTCTGTTAGCGACTTAATAATTGATGAAGATGGACGGTTGATCCATTCTGCCGCATCAACTGGTGCCAGCTCAACAGACCTTTGGTGGCTATCGTTGATGTCACATTTTCCACTTTAGTGGAAATTCCATATAGATTCGCTCTGCTGAAACAAAACAGGTCATCTTTGTTCGGCCAGTTTCCAGGCATTACTGAATGATGGAAGCAAATCATCGGTAGTTGGTCTATCTGCCCTTTCCAAAACTGTTTAGGACACTGGAAAAGTGTCTTCAATTTAAATGTTGTCATTCGTTATCACCACCTTCGCAACATGTTAGAGCTTTGCACCAAAATCTTTGATGCACTAGTCTTCCATTGCTTCCAAGTATCATTCAGCCTGAACTCGCTTGCCCTCATGAAGGCCAGCTGTTCTCCGCTTTGGTGAGGGACGTATTAGTCACACATTCACTCTTTCTCAAGCGCTCGAGCAGCGACACGCATACTGAGGACGTCATCTGACAGTTTTCCTCTACTTGTAAACACCTTCGACTCAGTTATCATGCTTTTGTGGTCCCCTGTCGTCGAAGAGCGTACCAGTGGATTTGTTCTTTTTAGCGCTACTCCTGAGATCGGGTGAGAATTTAGGGAAAGTTGTCCCATGAGCTGCCAACGACAAATTGGGTTATCCAAAATTGTCCTACATCTTCTCTCTTCTTCAACGTTCTCATTAATGACTCTGTTCTCTCATACTATTTTGAGGTGGAAATTCTGCAAGCTGAACAATTGACGAAACTGCATTATTCGGACGACATAGCTCTCTCCTTGTGTCGGACCCCGCGGCTATGCAAACATTATGCGCTTCGACTTGTTTTTCGCACTGATTCATGGCTGTAGTACCTGCGGTCCAACTGCCTCGGTAGTTTCATCACTGAAGGTTGCTTCAGGTATCAGCTAAGCGCGTGTGGCTTTCCCAAGTCACTTTTGTCTATGATGACGGTGGCATATCAACTTGTCAGTCTAAGCTAAAGGGTGCAGCACTCTGGTAAAGCCTATTGCTGCATACATTAGAAATATGACCTGTGCATGCTGATGACATTTAAAGACTGTGCGTCCTTCATCATCATCTTCCTCAGAGCACCAGATGAGCAGCACCAAAGTTCACCGGCTAGTGTTCGAAAATTAAAGTAAGCTTGCATTGCCTAGGTTAGGTTAAGCCATACCCTCAAGGTTCTTACTATACATTGACTTGACCAGAATTTTAATTTTCCTTATCCACCCTTAAACAACGCTATGTAAAAGTATGCGCGTATCCATTCATTCCGATGCAGTTATGTCTCGCATCGTCGAGAATAAAAGTTTATTTATTTACTTACGCTTGTTCCACCGTACACTAGATCTGTTCTAACTCATCACTTTTTCTTTGCTCAGTGCTGTTGATTCTCCACATTTCCACTGTTTATTTTGGGTTTTTTTCTATCCTTTTCGTTCCTCTATACCTCCTGATTTATATTTAACACTCTTACACTATTTGTTCTGTACTGTTGTTCTGCTACACATTTACCATCCAGTTTGAGTGTTTTTCTGTCCTAGTATGTGTCTGCTATTTGGTAACTCCGGTGTGGCTGCACTCGGTGTGAATGTAGAAAAGCTGCCTACCTGTCGAAAAACCACTACTTCGATTATATTGGCTCCAGGAGACAGTTGGCCGTTGCTTGGGGAGACGGAGTGCGCGGTCCTGGTGACCATTCTTGGCTCAAGGAATGGTTCCATGCACCCAGTATGGAGCAGACTACGGTCTATCCACTGCCTTGTATACATCCAGTACGCATGATTCTCCAATCAGTCAGCCAAGAATGCTGCTCCTGATAATGTGTGGGCCGGCTCCGTTAATGAAACGTGGCTCCCATCCACATGTCTCCCAGTCTTATTCCTTCGGGTTTGCACTGGATATGAAGTGTGTGGGTGGTACAGCGCAAGCCACCCGTGGTCCATCTGTAGACGCGGGCATCCTGTGACTGTACTATGAAGGTCGTAGTGTCGGGCAAATCCGGAATCGGATGTCGCTAACCATATCTTCCCTCCGCCTTGTTTAGTGAAACCGCAAGGTGGCTTGCCGATGACTACAAGTTGGCACAAACAAATCCACTGGGGGATTAAGTTGGGCTGCTCCGTTCCGTCTTCGTGATGATCCGCTTTAGTGATTTGTGGCCGTCGCACTTCTTAACTCGGTTCTTTGTATCCAGCGGTTACTTCTCCATCCTGACCAATGTTATCCACTTCTTAACTTTTCCCACTTTATGTCTGATTTTCTCTTTCATTTTTATTACTGCTATCCTACCGACGCTTTACAACTGGACCCACTGCAATTCCATGCTCAGTCCATGGTTGTTTAGCTGGGCGGAACGGAGTTGCATCCTCACGTTTCTCTGGATGAGTTTATCTATGTATCCATTTCTTTGGACCAGCCTCAGCCTAATCTCAGTTCGTCCCAAGGTTGCTATCCGCTCATCTGTTCTCCACTGTTCCCAATAGGAAGTGAATAAGTACTCCTTTCTCGTTCACACTATCAACAGCGACTGCACCTCAGTACCATTTTACTGTTACTTACAGCCGTAAAACTCCATGGATCTTACCGTTAAGAAATTATTAATAGTGAGTGTACCAATCACCGGGGGATTAGTCTCATTTCAGTTACCTCCAAGCTATTAGCATCCATTCTACTCCATAGACTCTGTGTCATTCGCGAATCACAGTACCGGGAAGAACGAGTTGGCTTCCGACCTGGCCGCGGGTTTGTGGATCAGACATTCACACTTCATCAAATCCTGGAGCGTCACCACCTTTACCAGATGCCTAACATCGTGGCATTCCTGGATATCCGTGCCGCATTCGGCTCGGTTGGTCGACCTACACTATGGCGTTGTTTGCTAAGGAACGGTGTCCAAGAAAAGTACACTGCCCATCCTTCGTGCACTGTATTTCCACATCTCTGACAGAGTGAGGATTTATGACAGGCTTTCTTTGTCCTTCGCTGTCACTAGCGGTCTACGACAAGGATGCCCTATGTCCCCGTTCCTCTTCAATTTTGCGATTGAAGACATCCTATCGAGAGCTCTAGACGGTTACCAAAATTTTGGTATACAGCTATTACCGGGCAAGCAAGCAACGGACTTAGATTATGCCGATGATATCGCCTTACTTGGTGAGGACTCACAGATCATGCAAACCATTTTAGACCGTTTGGCGATTGAGGCATCTGTATACGGAATTTGCTTTGCCCCGTCAAAGTGTAAAGTGCTGCTTCAGTATTGGCACTCATCTGCTCCTGTGCTCAGTATTGTAGGTACACAGCTGAACAAGTGAATAGCTTTGTTTACCTTGGCAGCTGCGTGTCTGCTGGTGCTACCATTAGAAGGGAAGTTTCTCTTCGCATCACCAAAGCTCGATCGGCATTTGTCCACATTCAGCACTTTTGGCGTCCTCGGGATATCTCCCTTCTGGTAAGAGGTCGTGTTTGCAATGCCACCGTTCGGACGGTGTTGCCATATGGAAGTGAGTCTTGGCCAGTTCGCGTAGTCGACATGCGCCGGCTCTCGACAACGGGTACTTGAGAAGGATTACTCGTGTGTTTTGGCAACAGCACATTTGCAACAGTAAAGTCAAACCTCGTGTGTTAGGGAATGCGAGTATTCCCTTCAGCAAGCTGCTTTTGTTGCGCCAGTTAGGATGGCTTGCTCATGTCCTAGGTATGTCAGCTGAGCGTCTGCCCCATCGCGCTGTTTGCTCGTGCAGAGCTCAACTGGAAGAGACCACGTGGTGGTCCATCATCCACCTGGCGTTAGCAAATGAAATGACTTCACGTCTTCCACCATTGGATTCACACGTCTGTCTGGTTGGGGACCAAAAGCTGAAAAGTGCCGATTGCTGGAAACAATTCAAGACATGGCTCGTAATCGAAAGCAGTGGATGATCTGTGTATATAACTGCTTAGATTTGGATACCTGCTACCTAACGATTAAAAACGACAAAAGCAATTTAAAAATTGGTGTGTGCATAATAACCAGAAATGCTCCGTTATTTCCTTTTGCGGCACAATAGCTGAAGTTAATGTACCATTATGCTGATACGGTGTTCAGCCTGTCTTTTAGTGATTTCCATGGTTATGTTTGACTCTATGTCTATTTGATAGGCTGCTGACAAAAGGTCTAGTCTACAACCTCCTTGCTTTAAGCAGATATCGAGGATCGAAGCGCCACAAAGCCCGTAGTTACCCATCGTGTGAGAACAAGGCAGCACCTGCATGACCGTTCTCTTCATCTTTGCTTTTTTACACTATAGTCAGCCCAGTTTCACAGATAACCCAAATAAGTCACACTTCATACAGTTAGTCCGACTGAGAGACGATGACAAAGACTCCATTGGGACCGGATGAGGACCATGTAGGGAGTGGGTCGCGTGGATGCCATCCTGGCTATTTAAACAGACCACCAGCATACGGTTTAGTCCTCAGCTACTTTATTTTCCCATGTTCTGTCAACTCTTTTTCGCCTCGAAACTTGCACGTGGTGAGCAGACATACGTACACTCATTCACTTGTCAGGAGGCTGGTTGTCCGAAGGATATGGTGTTCGCCTTGTAACCAAAAGGTCCCCGCTTCTTATATGCTGCGTAAGTGCAGGCGACGTTTGCAACTAGTCGTGATCGCGTGACAACGTAGCGTCGGTACGGTCTCCAGTCGTCACAGGATATCTTTCTTTTTCTCTCTTTGCTTATCTGACAGGTAATTCTGCTTTTAGTGCTACGTGAGCCAACTTATCAGTCACGCGCCAGTCTCTGTTGATGATGATACCATGTTACATGGATCTGTCATTAATCTCCGGTTCTTCACCTTCTAAGATCAAGAGTGCAACAGGTGGTTGGTGGCTCTGCGAATTTACTCTGCGCTGTGTATGTGCAAGACGCATCACAACTGAGGGCTCTACTCTGAGAAGTGTGCCAATTACCCACTTTCGCTATTGTTGTCGAACAGAGAGATGAGGTCATAAGTGTTTCTGAGATCAACCAGTTTCCCCCCCCCCACTTAGCGTCTCACATATCGAGACTCCTCAAAATACCCAACTCCATTACCTTTATTCAGTTAGACGCAAAGTCGCCTTGGTACTTATTTCCAATCCATGGAATCTGTACCTTTATCCTCAGTGCATGCTTTTACAACCGGCTCTAGGTTCCATGGCCATCGGGTTCACAGCAGTATAGTGATGTATCTGCTTCAGGCGTAATTTTCATTACTCGTCACTATTGCTTAATACCTCCATAACTTTTATTCGTGCGCTGTATTGCCTACTTGTTTCATCTTTTCTTGACTTACGCAGCTATTCCTGTGGGGTCACTGTGCTCCAAACTCCCACCCTGTTCAGCCGCGTTGGCTTCATATGCGTTTTTGTCTAACTGAATCTGTTCACTAATCTCCGTCTCTTAGATATGGAATCATCCTGACATACTTTGGCGTGCAATGGAGGAACATAAGGAAGCTATGGATTTTGACATTGACGATCCATCTTCTGGGTCATGTGGTGGCCGGGGTCCGCGTCAGAACGCAGCCAATCTTCGGTTAACCAACTTTCAACCGAATTCTTCCCTCATTGCATCACCGAAAATGACCGCGGTTGAAAATCCTTTTTTACGTTCCAATGAGTCGTTGAATGGATCTATATATTCGAATGCGCAGTCACTGTGCACTCCATTTTATTCAGTGAGTAGTCGACTTCGATCAATTGCTCTATTGAGATTCGTGATATCTTGTTTGCCTCTTAATTTTCTCTGTTGGATTTACTAGCGTGGCTTTTTGTTGATCTCTTTCTCCTGTCATCATTACCTATCCATTGGTTGGCTCCACGGTCTTTGCTGTTATATCCACTGTGACTCATTCCGGTATCCTGCGCTTTTTTCTGTGTCTTTGCCCGTGACACTCGCGTTGCTACATTGCCATACAGTTAGCTCCTGTGCATTTTGTGTGACACTCATATGGATGTGTAGTGTTATCCTTTACTCAACATTAGCCTTGGCTTTAGTTTTGTCCAGGTGATCACTTTTTCCACGCCACTCCGTGTTCTGTGCTGGTTTGTGCTACGGTTTTCGTTTGGCGTGGGTTCATTGCTTTTATTACATATCATTTCACTTTTTAGTATCCGTCCCTTCCTACGCAAGTAGGTTTTGTGAACACTCAGCGTTCATCGGGTGTGATGTACAACCAGACATCGCAAACCGCACTACACTCGTCCGCTTCATCTCAGGCTGCTGTAGGCGCGTACGACTGGGCTTGCTGTCCGGAGCTCTGGGGGTCACATTTCAAACCTGGTAATGTGGATCACAGTGGAAAGATTATACTTTTTCTTAGCCTCCTTGAGGGCTGTGTGTTGGCTGGTGACAAAATCCTCGTATTCACTCAGAGTCTGTACACCTTGGATTTGTTAGAGCGCATATTGCGTCGTCTCCCTTTACCTGAACCGGCCAATGTTGGCACAAATCGGCATCCGCTTCTGGAGGTTCAGCGTGAATCGTCAGTTCCAAATGGTCCTCCAAGCGATTCCATCGTGGACTGTAATCATGACCCCTCAGTGCCGTCTTCGGATCTGTTCGATATTCGAAATACTTCATGTCACCTAACAGCCTCATCACCGAGTATCGCATCGGCAAATGGAGGGCATCTTGACTCGGAGTCGGTTCCTCGAGAAGAAACGATTGCTGCCGCTGCAAACGCCTTGTTCACTCTACATGAGGAGCTAAACGCTAGCAGCGAATCGCAACGTAGAACAGAGGGCACACACGATTTTACTCTCCCCGTTGATGATATACATGTAACCGTTAAATCGGAACCTCCTGCAGTAGAAACCCCATTAGACCTGCAGGTAATGGATCAAGAAGAGACACTACGCTCACTTCATTATCGGCTGGCCTCTCACCTTGGAGCTCCGGATCATCCGACGGTGTGGACAAAGAATGTTCATTACTTTCGTAAGTTCTCCATTTCAACTGGTGTTATCCTACTGGTTCAATTCATTTTCTTTTTTCAGATGTTTAGAGTTCGACGAAATTTTTCCAGTTGCCAGCCTCCTTTTTATTAGTATTTGTTGATACTGATCGGTGGTGAAATGATCCAAGGGTTCGACATGTACTCCTTGAGTTCTCGATTCCTGTCTGCGCAAGTGTAGGCAATCTTACAGTATCCTAGCCACATTCAACAACTTGAATTTGCGTAATAGCGACGAGCATATTTGAAATGCCGCCTTACTGTTAACACCTGGTTCTTCGACTTGTTATGTCTGCAACGTATGTTGTACTGGAATCTCGGTTTACCCTTGCTGGATAAGTATCATCTCTTTCGCTAAAATGCGTGTATTCTCATCCAAACTAGTTGCTAGGTGCGCATGCCGGTCTTTTCGTGTGTATTTGCGCCGTATTGCACCTTGTCTACGGAATTTCCTCTCTTAGGCATAAGTTGTGGGCGACTCCGGAACTTGGTCGACACTGATATCCATAAATCTGAACGCCCCGGCATCTAGCAAACTGCGCAGAGCATTCGCACTTACGTAACAAAAGTTGGCTTTCGCACTTCATTCTCTAGCCATGTAGACCTAGCGAGCAATCTACAGTAGATAACTGTGCCATGTCTTTCGTGTTTGGCGGGACGAGAAGTGGTGTTGTCAGTACGGCTACACTCCATATTTCTTCCTTGTCTTCTTCGTGAATTGGTGTTGCAACAATAGTCAGATTATATAACTTTCTGGATGGGATGCAATTTCGGAAGTACCAAGCTTTAACTTTTCCCAGTCATTGAGGTTGACTCAGGTAAACTTGAGGGTAAATTTAGTTCGGTCCCTCACGCCACCTCTATATATTCGACAGATCGATTGTGCCTACCTCCAGTACGTTGCAACGAGTGTGGGGTTTACACGCATCATTTCAAAAGTCTTCACTGTCGTTATTTTGCACACATTGGTTTAGCTACGTTAACAATACTATGTCAATGGCAATTTGGACTTCGCGCCATTTCCATAGTTATATCATTGTGCTTGCATCTTTCTCCCGGATTTCGGCACCTACGAGTCCGATGCATCTCCTCAATCACCTGCATGCTTCTTTGCATCATCGTCTGGCTACCTAGGGATATCACTCAATCATCCACACTGGACAACTAGCCGACTTGTCATAGGAAGGCTTTACTATCAAATGTACTCACTACTTTGGGTATGCAAGCAGCATCCCTACACTTCACAGCTTAGTGGGCGTACCTAAGGTCTTTACACGCCTCAGTGGCTTTTCATTTGGAATGGATCTCTCTCTCTCTCTCTTAAATTGCAAATTATTCTTATAGCACTGGTTAAGTTGTGATGCAGGGCTCCTCGTTTGAACCTCCCCAGCCTTCCAACCCTACGTGACTTTGATGGTTGTTTGTTCTTAGCCATCTAATTAATAAAATTGTATCAGCGTTTTCTCATCGATTACCTTCTGACGGGACTCGCAGGCTTGCGCTTGTGACCTCCGCGAGTCATATGACTGATTCGACGCTGGTTCACCAGTACAATTTATTCCGTCCACTGCTTCGAGTTTTGCTGCATCGAAGCACCGGGAGTCCCAAACCGGACGAATATTACAAAACCATCCTCCTTTCACTTGCATTTTTCCATTGGGGGCTTCACCAGCTCTTGCTTTTTCTCTGGTATGATCCTTTTTGCATTTTCGTGAAGTTGTAGGGTTTCCCATCTCTTGTCGACAGGAAGGGATCTTAACACTCTTTTATAGCCGTCATCGATGCACCTGGCACGTTTTAATTAGATTATCCTGCGGTTTTACGTCCTCTACGTCATCGCTCAACCATTCCAGGATTTCAGACAGTTGTATGCACCATCGGCAATCAATGCATGAAGGGGGCGCTGGTCGTCGGGTGTCCTGATAGCGCAGCCTTTTCAAGGCGGAAGTTACGTGTTCTACCAATTTGGCAGACTTCAGCACTTCACTTGTTTAACCATTTTGATCAGTTTGTTATTGTGCTTGACGCGCTGCTACAATCTTTCTAGCCCGGCCATTACGCTAGACGCAGTCAACTTTGCGCTCCCTTTATTTTACCGTTACGCTACACGCGTCTTATCGTTCCACACGACAACCCGTTCCATGATATATCTATTTTCACTGTTGTTCGTCCATGTTGAAGGCTTGTAACCTGTCCGCTTAGTCCTAAACAAGATCTGGAAGTTCCAATATATCTAAGAGGTCAGCACTCGCATAGTGACTGGATCTCATGTTAATTGATCTATGTCGTCCGTCAGTCGGCCATTCAACATTGCTTTCACCACATATGCGTCCATTCATTCTTTCATTCACCATCAGTCTGGTACTAGGCCTATGAAGTAATGCGAAGTAGAACAACGACTCTACACGGTTTTCGTACATATTTACCCATCCTTATAAGTCGCAGTATGCAAATTTCCGAATAGATTAACGGTTTTCTTGATGCGTCTTTTGGCTGTGAGCACAGACTTAGTTATCTGATTCGGAGTGAACCGTTGTGTCATTAAGACACCCTACGCTCTCTCTGGGATTAGCGCCATTCAGGCACTTGATGACGCATAATTTTCTTCTCTGAACATTCTGTACCATGCGTAGGAACCTTCTTGATCGTCACTGACTCGGTTTCCAGTGGCGCTGCCGTGCGATGTCTTCATGCAGCTTTGAAGCAGTCGTGACGAAAGTAACATCTCAGTGATTCACACGCTATCTTTCGACTCGTTCCAAAGCCAAAATAGCCGTTTCATGCTACCGGTCTAAAAGCGCATCTGTGTGGTGCTAAACAGATTCGTTGTTTTGATCACAAATGAGTCACCAACACTTTCTGCACTAATGATCGGGTACATGTACCTTACTACACTTTGTCAATCCTCTTTTTACCCCAACATTGCTGGGGGCTGTAACATCATATTCCCAGTTGGATACCTCAGTTCGAATTCACTCATTCAGGAAGTGCCCATCTAAACGGAAGTGTGACGGGCTCGTAGGCAAATCAAATGGCAGTTGTTCTACTAACGGTACCCGGCTCCGGATGTGTTGAAACAATAGTTTGTGCTTTTCAGCAGTATTGCTCCCCATTTCAGGGGATCCTGTCCTTATCTATCTCTTTTGGTCTGTTTTGATACGGTTCCTAATGCGTTTTACATGAAGGCTGTTGATAATCTGGTGTATATTACCTGATCCAGTCGTTTTCACGCTGCGCTCGCGCTTTCGAAATGTCAACTTACTCAGATAAGTTTCCTCTTAGGCATTCTCATTGATGAAACCCATTGAGCTTCGGATTCACATCTCGGTTCGGTGGCAGGATTGTGTTTGATGTTGGCCGCTTTCGATTTTGAACACAACTGCTCAGTCCTTTTTGTTTATCCGCAAAGATTACACTTATCTAGTATATGTATCTTTCTACTATCTGGTGACACCTGTTTTCTAAGATCATTTCAACTTACCCTCCTTTTCTTGCTGTTACATTTTAGGTCTTGACGGTAGCACCACAGCTAGTGAGCGTGAGAAGTTGATCAATCATTTCAACGACCCAAAGAACCCCGCCAAATTGTTTTTGGTGTCTACTCGGTAAATCGCCTTGTTTTTGCCCAGGTTGCATACGGATGGTGTTAGGATACGCAACTGTTTTTACGCTTTTCGGTCTTGTTCTTGCTGCACCTCACTGCTGTTGCTGTACTTCCGTTGGATATGCGATTTTTTCATGGGACACTGCCTCCTCCGGCCTTGCATCTGTCCCTTGACTTGCGGTACAACGATTTTGCTCGAGGGGCTTTGTTTTCGGTGCAACTGCGGCGACTCGTTTTCTCCGTACCGCTGTTTTTTATCCCATTGGTGTACGCTGTCATGTTTCGCGAATTATCAGACAGCCTGTTTGGGTTTAAACTGAAACCAAGTCGGCACTCCGCTCATGGCTCATCTCAAGGTTCGTTAGGCAACTTAAATCTTAACTACTACGGCAAATGATTTCTAACTCCGATATTGCCTATTCCTTGTGCGATTTGTTCTCTAAGCCTCTATCGCGAATTTTTACGTCATTAACTTTTTAAGCCCCACCTATAAGTAATTAGGACCACTCGAGTGATTTCACACGTGCTTTTTGCACCACGCCTAATCTGTCGCACCTGGGCATCCTATCTTGGCGTTCTCATCACGTGACCGCGGTTCACTGAGTGCGCTTTATGTGCTTCATGATGACGCTGATTGAATCGCGGCGCAAATTATTTATTTACTTTTTCGCCATGTCTCTCCGAACTTCTTATCACAAAAGCGATTTCCGAAATTTTTTCTGCCCATCATATCCCTAATTTCTTCTACGTCATTTCGATTGAACATAATCCCCCTTTAAAGAAAAGCCATCCAAGTCGGATTCGGTAACAAGGAACCTTGGGATCTAAATTTTTCCTAGAACAAACGCAGTATAGCCAGGCCGTGCGCAGTTTGGAGTTACTGGGAGACCGTCCTCACCTACACGGATTCGGACTGATGGCTTCTGGACTGCCTACTAATAATCGCCCATCGAACGACACCTGAGATGTAACTTGATATATTTAAAACAAATCAATCCTTAAGTGCATTACAGGTAATGCTGATCTTCAGTAAAGCAAATATTCCTGTTTCAGTGACAAATTCAAGAACAGATGAGTGTTGAATTAAGAATTCCTTCCACATAAACTCTCGTCGCATCCAAACGTCTGCATGGCAGGGATACTAATGTGTTGTTAGCGTGACGTCTTGTTTGCGGAATTGTTTTCTGAGTTTTTCGTACAGTCACATCGATAGTTTATGGCTGAGTACCAAGTCAAGAGCTGTTGCTCCGATTGATAACTGTTGCTCTTGTTCGTTTCTTCTTAAATGAATAGAATTTGCGTTGAATTTGTTTCTTCGCAGTAGTTGATGCTTTTTATTTCTCGAGTTTCTGTCGGCTGAATTGTCTAATCATTGACCGGTTTATTATTCATCTTCTACTGATGTGCTAGCATCCTTTATGGATCAGATGTTACTGTTACATTTTGGAGTACACTCCGATCAAGTTTCAGTATCAGCCTAAACAACAGCAGCAATACATAAACCATTTGAACAAAAAGCATCAGAGGAGAGGAAGATCTAGCGTAGAACAGTACTGCCCTAAACAACTACTAATGGCCGAGGCGCCTACATTTTGCGTCAGCAACATACTGTCACAAACAGCTGGCTCTCATGCAAAGATAGGGCGGCATCGGCAAGACAGCTTCCCTACGGGTTTCACTATTCCGCGACATAATCAGCTATTACCCCTCAGATAACACAGCACCAAACGCACTTTAAAGTGGTAGGCCAATTGGGAGACGAAAGCAGACGCGCCACTGGTGCCGATTGCGAGCCTTGTCCTGTAACGTCTCGAGCCAAGCACAAGGCGGGTCGGCCACGTGGACTTCAGCCTGGAATGCAAGACGTACCAACAGCATCAAGATTTTAGTCAAGGAAGTCATCAGCAGTACGCCGGCACATTGTACCAACGCTTCGCTGCTACGCGACCACCACCAGCCGCGCCTGGGCTGAATATACCGAGAGGACGCCCGCCCCTACGCGGATTCGAATCGGTGACCTAAGGATTACAAACCAGGCGTGCAATCCTTTCGGCCACCGGCCGACAGTCCGTGTCTTCATTTCCCACTGCCAAGTCGACTTTTGTTCACCTCGAGCCTTGTGCCACCTTACATCTGGCAAACAAAACGATGTCCTTCTCGCTAAGCGTTTGTCGGGCAAGTGTAGTACGAACCCATGTCAACGCAACTTATTCGGTGCCATCTGTTGTTCTGAGGAACTCTTCTGCGTATCACTGTCCTGTACTCGCCCTCGCATTTCATCGTTACGGACAAGCTGGTGCCATATAACACCAGCAGTGCTCCGTATGCAGCGATGATCAAGGACTTGAACGCGCCTCAAATCTTTCGATCGATGAGGCTGCCTCATTACCCTAAAGTAAGATGGTTCTCACTGCGGCCTTGCAAACACGTCCTTTCAGACCGAGGACCACTACCTTCTGATGCCACACATGTTACAGATGCAAAAGGGCAACTCTAGCTTTTGCAATACCCAAACTGGCTTCGGTCGTTATGCGCCTATCATTACTGATGTAGTTACCAAGGTAGATGCATTGACTAAATACCTCGGGTTTGTCGTCATCAATGGTCAAAAAGTCATCAAGTGGTTGGTGACCCTGCGACAGCATTGCACTTTGAAGATGCGAACCTCATTGTTGAAAAGCAAAGCATTTTCGTCCGCACAGTCAAGATCAACTAGTTTTCCACCGGATAGCGTCCTCCGGTTGGTTATTTTTGGCTGTGTTGACAAGATCACTTTGTGTTAACTTTCTGCGTTCATTGGAAGTAGTTCGTGGAAATTGAGTTACAATTCAGTTTCATTTCCGATTCTGAAATTTCCGACCAGAAATACTTGTATTTCATCGTTTTGTTTCGGCGATCTTGCTATCGCCACTTACTTCGTCAATTGGCCGCCATCTTGTTTTCGGATTATTCGCAATGCCGAAGCAGTCATCCTGTGGTACTTGCTCCAAACTAGTCGGATACCGTGCAAATGCCCTCACGTGTGCATTTTGCCAAGTTAAATACCACATTTCATGTGTTGGATTATCAGTTGAGCATTTTCATCGTCTTCGCGAGATCCAACACGATTTCGTCCAAACTATATGTGAAAATTGCCGAAATCAGATACAACCAGAAAGAGTAAAGCCGACGTGTAGTCCTCAGCGTTTCGTTGCGAACAGCTCCGTGTTTTTGGCCCAACAACCTAGCGCGAAGAGCCTTCAGGTTTCGGCTCAGTCGTCCTCCTCTACCCGTGCAAACTCACTTACACGAAGTCCAACCGTTGTGAGAAGCCCAGTTGCACCTGGGCTAAATTGTTTACCTTTGTTGTGTCCACCGGACACTGATGTCCCAACAGGTGAAAGTCTGAGTGCTGAAGACCAGTGGAAAGATCAGAGGACGAAATTACGAAGGAACGTTGGGCCTTTACGTTCTGTAAGTCAACAGTTAGCCAAACCACTTGAGGCTGGTAGTATACTTCGCCCTGCAAGGCCAACCTCGTCCGACCAGAGGCGTTATAATCTCGTGATCTTTCACGCACCGGAGTCCAGTGATCCATCACCCCAAGTGCGCTACGATCACGATGTCGAGTTTTTACAGCGTCTAATTGATAGACTCTTCGACGCTAGTGAGGACTCGGTAAAAGTGAGGCAGATTACACGTCTTGGAAAGCAAGGTGATCAACATAATCGGCCTATGAGAATCACTTTTGTGGACGAAGCCAGTCCAAGACTTATCATGTCTCGCCTAAGTAGGCTTAAAGGTTTGAAGATCCATGTTCGTCCCGACCTGGACCCAGTAGACAGGGAGCGGCTCAAGTCTGCCATCATTGAGTTGAAAAGACGCACTGGTGAGGGGGAAACAAATCTTCGTATCGTAAATTTTCGGGTGGTTTCCAACAATCCGCGAATCAGGATAAACAGGCTGCTCACACTTCAAGCACGCCCGGTGGCTCCTGCTGCGGCCTGCGAGTAGCCTTCACAAACGTTTGCAGTATTATGAATAAGCGCGATGAGCTTTGTTGTTTCGTTGCGTCTGAGCGGCCAGACGTAGTGGGACTCGCAGAAACATGGCTGCATGCAGAGTTATACACCCAAGAACTTGAACTCAACGGTTACTCGTGTTTCCGATGCGATAGACTAAAGAATGCCCACGGTGGTGTCTTACTTTACATCCGGTCTTCCCTGCGTGGGAGACTTGTGAGCACCTACCGAAGTGACGATGGCCTGTGTGAGCTACTGTGGTGCTCCATCCGCCTCAGGCGCGGAGAACTGCTTGTGGGCGCAGTTTATCGCAGTCCCCTGAGTCGTTGTTTGGATTGGCTGCCCCATCTTCGGACCCACATGAGTCGTCCACACTTTCTGCTTATGGGCGATTTTAACTGTCCTCGAATACGATGGCCTGATGTGCATTTGATGCCTGGACATAGTGAGGTTGAAGCAAAGTTCGTGGATTTGGTACTTGAAACTGGTGCATCGCAACACATATGCCAGCCAACACGCATATCAACAAGTTCAACCTCGTCCTGTCTCGACCTGATGTTAACGAGCTACGAACAACGAGTGCGTGACGTTAGGATCCTGGAGCCCTTGGCTACGAGCGACCACTCAGTACTGATAGCTGATATGGAATTATCTTTGCCGTATTCACATCCGCTGCAACCAGCTCCCAACTACTGGAAAACGGACTTCGATGGTCTTGCTCGAGCCGCGAGCCAACTGGATTGGTCTCTGTCACAAACTGCATCTGTGGAAGATTGTTGGATATTTATAAAAGAGAGATTAACATCATTGTGTTCCAAATTTGTGCCATTGAAATGTCGAAAGGTTGGACCGATTAAGCCTCATTGGTTTGATAAGGAGTATGGAAACCTGGCTCGGAGGCGGCGCAGACTGTGGGACAAATTCCTTCTCTCTGGCTCTGCTAATGATTACGAAGGGTATAAATGTCAGCGGAATCTCTGCAACAGTGTAAAAAAGAATA